CCTTCTCATCAGGTGCAGTGCTGTGGTACACACCTATAATCCCAGCAGCTCGGGAGGCTGAGGCAGGAGGATCCCACATTCAAAGCCAGCCTCGGCAACTAAGGCCCTAATCAACTTATCGAGGCCCCGACTCAAAATAAAAAAATTAAAAGGGCTGGGGATGTGGCTCAGTGGTTAAGCACCCCTATGTTCAATCCCCAGTAATAACAAAAAAGGGCTTCTCGTCCACTAATGATAAAATAATTTGAAGAAAATGTAAGCACACTCAGTACGTGAAAGGAGAAAAGACCAACAGCAAAAAGTCAGGGGATAATTGTCAGAGTTAGAACTAGGCCAGTTTGAAGCCCGAATCTAAGTGCTGGTAGAATTCAAACCTTAAATCTGGAATGTACTTTCATTCTGTTCCTTAAATGGTTGAAAGGAAAGGCTTAGATACACAAAAGTATTTTATACCAAATAATTATCTGAATCATACTCTCTTGCACAGTAACGAAGAGACTCCACATTATGAATATACTTCATTTTGAAACAGTGTCAAAAGCTACTTGGAGCCCTTATTTCAAAAAGAAAGCAGTAATTTTGAGACATTCATTCTGTACACTCTTTGTAGTATGGTTAACTTCTAAGTTCACTGCAGACCCAAGTGAACTTTCCCTAAAATGCGACACAAGAGCCTGAGTTACAATCAATAAGGATGGGAGGAGGTTATTGTGCAACTCTTCCTGCAGGGTGTGAGAATTTTTTCCCTTCAGGCAGAATATACTGATTTAATCCTTACCCCTAGTGTCCCTTTATTGCAACATTCTTGAACATAGCCACATTCCATCGGGGTGCAACAGTTGACTTTTGTCTTTAAGGAAAGCCTTGGCAACTGATAGCATCAGAGGAAGAGATAAGCCGCCCCTCCGAGACAGAGTTGTAATGGGCCCCAGACCTCCGTGTGCCCATTGTGCAAGCCCAGCTTTCTTTTAGACTCATCCAAGTGCTGAGGATGTTTTGTTGTTTGCTTTTTAAAGCAGCCAGATCAGATTTTTCTCCATTGTCTAAACTCCAACAGAAGAAGCAGGTTATGTTTTAAAGGTGATCTCTATAATGTTGTGGCTGACTTGGTTGTGAAAGTAAAAGGAGAAAGGAGGAAGAGTGTGTATATTTTGGCAGTTTTTCTATAGTAACAATGTGACAGTTTTCTACAGTAACAATGTATTCACTAACAGACCTGCAGAGAACTTCATGTCTGCCTTTCAGATTCCTAATTGAATTCTCTGTAGACTCTGAGATCTTGGAGGATTTCAGTACTAAGCAAATTTAATAATCATACTTTTTCAATATTGAGGGAAAGCAAAAGAAAACTAAAATTTCTTGACAGTCAAATCCAACATTATACTTTTACATTTATAACTTCACTTAAACTTTATAAGAAATCTCATTGGTAGATATTATCCCCATTCTTAAAGAAAACAGCAGTGGAGCTGGGAGACCTTATCTGGCAGTGTGATCATTCAGACCAAGGTGGGACAATGACTGCCAAGTGAACCCCCAGCCTCCTCCTATTCCCTCTTCTCACCTCCCCCCCCCCACCCCCCACCACCCCCAGGAAAAAAGAGATCTGTTCTGTTTCATTATGTACACTTACTAGACAATTTTCTATAAAACTCAGTGTCATAAAACACAACAAATAAATGTCTAACAAGTTATTCAATATATTTGTTTAATTTTAAAAAGCGATGAACTCCCTTAATCCTCTCTCCGACTTCAAGAATACAAAAAAAAAAGGAGGAGGAGGAAGGATCCAACTACAAGCAGGCAAAGTTTTGTCTGACTATAGAATCAGGAAACCCAGTTTGCCTGGTTCCTGAAATTCCAGTGATCTGCCTGCCCTGAGCCTGTGGTGAGCCTGTCTCTCTTCTGAGAGACCTTCCTTCTCAGCTGGTTCCTGGAAGGAATGAATGTTCTCCCTACAGCTCCCACTCTCCACCCAAACTTTAAAAGATAAGAGGAAAATATTTCCCTGGCTATAAAATGGCTTGTTTTTAATATGGTATGTCTGGGCCTACATAAAATCCCTTATAAACGTCTTCTAAAAGATGACAATTTTTCACATTCCAAACTTATTTGAAAAGCCTGGTAAAATCTAGTTGGGACTATTGGGAAAGTCAATCTCCTTATGACACATATGATTTCTAATGATATGATTTCTGTCATTTTAAGTATGCTCTCCTATCAACTCAAAATGGACCAAAGGCCTAGGATTTGGACAAGAAACTGTGCAACTCCTGAAAGAAAACATAGGGGTCAACATTCCAAAAAAAACAGGCACAGACAACAGCTTCCTCAATAGGACCCCTAAAGCTCAGGAAATAATGATCAAGAGTTAATAAATGGGATGGCATCAAATTAATTAAAAACTATTGCACTTGCAAAGGAAACAATTAGGAATGGGAAGAGAGAATCCACAGAATGGAAGAAAATCTTTGCTATCTACTCTTCTGACAGAGGAGTAATATCCAGAATATATAAAGAACTCAAAAAAACTTAATGTCAAAAAACCCTAAATAACCCAATTAATAAACAGTTAAATAAACTAAACAGACATTTCTCAAAAGAAATACAAATGGTCATCAAATATATGACAAAACATTTGGTATCACTAGCAATTAGGGAAATGCAAATCAAAACCACAACGAGATTTCATCTCCCACCAGTCAGAATAGCAGCTAAAAAGAATACAAACAATACTAAATGCTAGAGAGGATGTGGAGAAAAAGGAACATATTTACACTGTTGGTGGGATTATAAAATAGTGCAACCACTCTGGAAATCAGTCTGGAGGTTCTGCAAGAGACTAGGAGTAGGACCATCATGACCCAGCTCTACCACTCCTCAGTATTTAGCCTAAAGAATTAAAGTCATCAGATACAGTGATACATCCATAACCATATTTATAGCAGCACAATTCACAATAGCCAAACTATGGAACCAGTCTGGGTATTCATCAGTGGATGAATGGATAAAGAAAATGTGGTCTATATACACAATGGAGTTTTATTCGGCCCTATAGAAAAATGAGATTATGTTATTTTTCAGGAAAATGAATGGAACTTAAGAACATTATATTAAGTGAATAAACTAAACTCAGAAAGTCAAGGGTTGTAGGTTTTCTCTCATATGTGGAAGGTAGAGAGGAAAAAAGAAAAGAAAGTAGGATGGGGGAATCTCATGAAAATGGAAGGGAGACTAGTAGTATAAAGGAAAGGGACCAAGGGTAAGGAGGAGGAGAGGGAAGGGGAAATACTGGGGAATGGTATTGGACAAATTACATTGTTATATTTTGTGCATGTACGAATATGTGATAACAAATCCCACCATTATGTGTAGCTATAATGCACTAATAAAAATATGGAAAAGTAAACAAATATGCTCTCCTAGCTCTAGTTTAGAAGTAGCCAAGTGTTATATAAATGTATTTTTTTTTACTCCTGCGTAGCATGTATCCCCAATCCTGTCTCAGTACCTGGCATGTCCTACCCCCGCAGCCAAGAATACTTTGCTGAATGAATGGATCTGGCCCAAGCCTCACTGAGAGGTAGAGGAGGCCAGTGGGGCAGCCAGCTGTGTGCCAGGCCCACTGTTTCCTCCCCTCTCTCTCCTTGTCTCTGCTTAGCTGCATCCTCTCGTCCCTTCCTGAGCATCTCTAGGCTGCCAACTATACCACCATTGATTCTCTACATTAGAGACTGTGACCCCCATGGTGCAGCCACTTTTATTTTCTGGGTCTCTGGAATATCCCTCTTTCCCTCCTGTATCTCAACTAATTAAAAGTGACCTAAATAAGTAAAATGAAACAAAGAGGAAGGATAAAACTATTTTGTAAGCTAATAGGCTTGTCCAGGCTCTATGAATTTTGTTGTTATTCATCCCAAACTTATTCCTGTTGAAAGGCTTACACCTTAGCATTTCAGTAAGTAATTTATCAAGAACCATTCATGTTAGAAGAAAAAAACTTGATTACACCTTTTACCCCATTTGATTAACAAATGTATAACATTAATGAAAACTCTTTAACTAGTAGCCCTGGCTAGCAAAGCAACCTAACGTTGACCAGTCCACCTGGTCAACACTTCAGGTCTCATGAAAGTGTGTAAAGTCTTCCAGGAAGCAACTTGTGGAGGGCAGAGAGAGAGAAGGTCTAATAAGTAAGGCCCTCTGAAGCTAAGGCCAGCCTCACCAGAGTCTAGCATCACCAACAGCAGAGTGGCCTCATGACTGAGATACCTGGAAAAAGGTGAAGAAGCTGACCAGAAAGGCTGGTGAAATGGAGGCATAAATACAGCATACGTCTCCCCTGTACCTGTGGCCAGAATTTCCAGAGATACATTATATCAGACCTGCAGTGCCACTGGCCACTACTAGATTTCTAGCAGCAAGCCTAGTGCCCAGCATGTAGTAAAAGCTCTGTCAATGTTTAATTTATTGACAGGGATGGACAGGAAGACAGAATAGAAGGTGTTGGAGGCAGGGATCATTCCCAAAGTTAGTGTCTGTTCTGTAAGCTTAAATTTTGGGTTATTTTTCAAGTAGCACTAAAACTTACCTTGAGCCGTGATAATCAGGTTTATTCTGCTTTGTGGGCTTTTAGATGGATGAAGTGGCTACAATTTCTAATTCCCTCTCATGCTTTCTAGGTCTGGATATCAGAAAACCTATCTCTACTGTATTTAGAGCATTGACGTTTGACCAATAGCAGTAGATAGCAGGGACTTTGCTCTAGAATTATCTTTTCTTCTGCTTCAATTGTTTTTTTGTAATTTTAACTGTTCATTCACCATTAAACTTTGCAAAAAAGTCTCTATTTAGGATTCATAAAGTCAATTTTCATAACTTTAGGCACTTGGGGGAAACAGAAGAGACCCCCTTGCTCTATAAAGGAAGAGAACTCACAGCCAGCTAGTTAGTGACAGGAAGGCGCGAGGTGCCATGGTGACATCTGAGACCACCTCATGTAGTAACTCTTTCAGCCCAGCGGCATTGCCAGCTCTTTCCATGTGTGTACAGAGATTTTTTTTCCCAATAGAAAATTTGGCCTTAAAAGTCTAATACAGGTTATTTTTATAGATGACCAAGGTGAGGGCCACACTAGAAGACGTCCCCACCAGGTCCCAGCTGTTCTCTAGATGAGCTCATGCCCACTTCTCTCTCTGTTATTATGCTACCTCCTATTTTTCTTTTGTCTAAAGCTAGAAAAGGCCCTCAAGGGCCTGAGCTCATGGAATTATCAGAGAGCAGATAGATGTAGGGAACACCCATGTGGTAGATGCTATGAAGAACTGTGCAGGGATTCTGGAGGGCAGGGAACTGAAGACCTCCCACAGTTGGAAGGGGTCTTTCCTTGGGAAGTGATGTTTCACTGATACCTACCTGAGTGGGAGGCGGAGGTAGTGCTGAGTCAGGTGGAATGGCACATTGAAAGGGAGGGCTGAACTCTGAACCCAGACGAGGCTGCAGCCAGACAACAAGGCCTGGCCAGCCAGGTTAAGGAATTTGAAATTTATCCCAGAAGCAAACGGAAGCTCCTGTGGGCAGGAAGACAAAGGGTCACAAGATTAGAGGTGGGGGTTTGAAAGACTCTAGGCTATGTGGAAGGGAACAGAGTGGAGATGTGCGGGAGAGGGAGGTGGTTTAGATGGGGGAGGTGGAGGGGTTTACATGAGGTGGGTGAGGTGGTTTAGATGGAGGAGGTGAGGTGGTTTACATGAGGTGAGTACCTAAGCAGGGCAGAATCCTGAGTTTTGACTTGTGAAAAAGGAGAGGTGCACTAACCAGGGAGGAAGAGAAGATTCTAACAACAGCTGACAGAGCAGCCTCCATGCCAACCACTGTCCTCTCTAATCTTCGTAACTGCGCCTTACATAGGTTCTATTGTCCTGTTACAGAGATGAGAAAACTGACGTAAAGATTGTCCCAAATCACATAAATGTTCAAGAAATTTAGTTGCTACTGCCTCTTCTTGCTCAGTGATTCACTCATCCATCCTTGGACTGTGTGCTAAGGTTTAAATCATGTATTGGTGAGGAAAACAGATGTGGACCCTGCCCTATGAAGACTGCAGCCCAGTAGAGAAAACAGACAATAAACAATTTTCTTGTCCAAGCAAGAATGGTAGGATGGTCTAGGATCCTTAAACTGATGGTAGGATGGTCTAGGATCCTTAAACTGATGTTAGAATTGTAGCTCTTGTATAAATCTTGAGATGGAAATACAGATTATTGACTAAGCTAACAAAATGCTTCCCACGTTTTCCCTGAGGTTCCACCAGTGCCTCCCCCCACCCAAGTGAATTAGGTCAGAAATAGGCCTTGTGCCAATTTTATAGGAGGAGACTGCTGAGCTAAGAAGAGGCAGCAGCACAGCAGTATTCGAGTCTCGAGGAGCCTGGGTTCCTGGTCCTGGCCACATCTGTCACCCTTCAGGTACAGCTGCCGTTGTGCACGAGGTGGTAGGAAGGAGCCCAATCTGACTGCCTCTGTACGGGTCAGGTCACAGCTCCCTGCTCTCTACTATATATAGTAAAGAACTTACATGAGAGTGCTATTTAAAAAGATGACAGGGAGGAAAAGAGAGTGCCAGCTGAATGTTTTCCACTAAAGCTCATTTTTCATAGATGTTTCTGTTTCTACACTGACAATGTACCAGGGGACAGCTCTCCAGGGCATCTGTCTTTGCTGAGTATAACTTGGTCCATGGTATATGATCCATGCTCACACTTACCTTTATATTAATCTTTTTTACTAGTTTACTTGCCTTTATTAATTTATTAATATTTTTATTAATGTTACTCCCCTCCCCTCCATATAATGTTACTCCTGTTTCCCTGATATGTGCAGAAAGGGGCTATGAAGAAGGAAAACATTGTGGAAATGATTTAAACTAAACTTTACAATGTATTTGGGGTGGTGTTGAAAAGGAATGTACTATGTTCAGCAAACTGGGGAATCAACATGTTAAATGTTAAGTCCATCTTAAGTGCTTTAAATTATAATTAGTGACTGTTTGAAATCACTAATTTTAAAATTCATGATTATTTCTTATCCTGTCTAATTTCTTGAATGCTCTAGCACAAACTCAATTTTGTCAGTTTAATCAACATTACACAAACTTTCCATTATATGTTAATGAGTTAACTACATGTCCCACTTTTCCCATTACAGTTGATCTGCCTGTTGTCCCCAGGTCCTATCTAGTTCATCATTTGTCCCAGATGAAAGAGTCAACATTTGGACAATAAATTATATGTATATAAGAAAAATGTTTATACACACACACACACACACACACATACATATACACATACATACATATATATTATATTGTGGCCAAAAGTAGCACCTGACCTAAGAAGCCTTGGTTGCTTGCATTAGCCAGGTGCTACCCACTGCATTTTAGGGTTGTTTTTTTACAGATTATTTGGTTTAGAATGTGGCATTAGCTTTATCAATGCCATTGTACTATTGTGGACTTCAGATTTAGAACATTTTTTTCAACTTTTTCTTGCTTATTTCTTGTGAAAATAGTCCTTACATTAAGATGAAAGAAAAGTGAAATACCAGGCAAAATCAGCAAACAGATGAATTACCCTGTTTGTACCCATGAAAAGTTCATGTTTAAGGAAAAGGTTTGATTTTTATTTTATACATACATATTAACTTTGTAAATCTGACCTTTTATTCCAAGAAGCTTAGCTCAGTTAACATGTCAACATTGGAAAAGCTCAGAAAAACAACAACAACAAAAAGATAACCCAAAGTTATCTAACACTGAACTTCAGGGGAGACCAAAGAGAGGTCTGCCATGACTTCTTAATTCTCCACATCATCCTCTTAAGATGAAACAGATACAAAAATCCCTGGTCAGAACCAGTGTTACAATGATGATAGATCAAGAATCTTAAGTATTTCTGCTTTCTCCTCTCTCCATTCACTGTAACACATGCATATGTCAAAAAATATATATTGAAAGCAAAAGTCTAGAGAACAATAAATGTGCTTTTTTACATGTACCTTCTTTGGGTAATGAAAGGCATCTTCTCATGCTCTCCGTGGTGTTGCTGTTGTTGAAAATACACACGGTTCTACCCACGTACAGCAACCCTTTGGGGAGAGTAGCTCCCTGTCCAGAGTTATTCATTGAGAATTAAACTTTGATTGTTTAGAGCAAAATTTCAGACTTGAAGAGATTTTCCTAATATGGAAGAATGATGTAATGGTCATGGAGGGGGGCCAGGCTCCCTTTGCTTGTTTTATTTATATTAGCTGAATTCCAGGGGAAAATGTGCTACAAAGATTGTGGGCTGCTAACTATATTTAGCCAAACCAAGTAATATCAGGAGGCAGTTTTTTAAAAGCTCTATACTCAGTGTACTAAAAGTTATTTTTCCAAGCACCTTGTTTTTATAAAGTTTTATCAAGCATAAGAAATACTTTCATGAAAATTTTACCTTTTACTTTGAGTAATCTCTCTTTAACTGGGCAAGTTTTCCCTGAGATAGTGGTTTCTGGGTCAAAAGAGAGATACTTCATGCTAAGGCCCTGGTTGAAAAGATTACATTAATTTTTCCAAGTGGATTTGGAAAAAAGGAAAGCAATAGGTGACAGCTTCTTTCCACCACTGATTACCACACTTGTTCACCACAGCTGAAAGGGCTAACTTTCCGTGTAACCAGGGCCTGGCAGGGTGACCTGAGTAAGGTTCCCTATGAAAATGGAGTCTCCCCCACCTGCCTGAAGCAGAGTACTCCCAGCCATCATGCTGAGCAACACAAAGGGGCCCAAACAGACCATCTGCTTGTGAATGTACAACAAGAGAGGGACAGTTTGAGAAACACAATCTTAGAATCACTTCTGATGTTACTTGCTGAGAAATCAGCAAATAAGTCAGAAAATGAGTAAGAAATTGGAGGATAACATCTACTGTCATGGGCAAATCTTTCATCATATCCCATAACATTGGTCACCTAGAGACCAAGTCCTTGGATTCTAAGCTCCATAGTATGATTCCTGTTAGGTAGGGCACCTCGTAAACATCCAGAGACAGTAACTCTGAGCGTAACTCTCGGAAATGAAGGAACTTTTTGAATCAAGCTTCTAGGACCACTGTCTACCAGAAATAAGGACCACAAGTCAGGCCATATATAATTTGGTAGTCGCATTTAAAAAGAAAAAGAAACAAGTGAAATTAATATAATAACATATTTTACTTAATCTAGTGTATTCAGAATAGTATCATTTGAGATGTAATATTTAAATTAAATTGAAGTTATTTTATATTCTCTTTTTGAACTAAATTTTTAAGATCAGATGTGTATTTTACTCTTACATCACATCTCAGTTTGGACCAACCATAGTTCAAGTGTGCACATACGTGCACATGTGGCCACTGGCCACCATGTTTGAATAGTGCAGGTCAAAAGGTATGAAACCAACACTAACCAATGTAGCAAAACAGTGTCTTCTAAATGGTCACCTCTATCTTTTCAGATCTGAAAACCACTGCTATGTTGCAAATCAGATAATAATAATGAGAGCCAATCCTGGTGATAGAAATGGAGTTCATTCAGTGGAGAAGGATCTGTTCAGGACCTACTATGACAGTCCCCGTGCTAGATTCTGAATCACAACAAAAGGTCCCCTTCTTAAGGGACTGATCTCCCTGGGCTGGGCATTCAGGTAGAAAGTACAAAATAGATACATAAAGGCAATAATTTTAATAGCAAATGATGTCCAGTAAATAAAATAGGATAATGAGTTAGAGACAGAAGGGAGTACTCTTGTTGCTCACTCAATGAATCATTTGGGAAATGAATTGTGCTAGGTAGTGTGAAAAATTATTTCAGCCTGAGGCAAATAGTTCCTCTAATTAAAGTGACTAAAGGAGATTCTCATTTTTTCTTTAAAAGAGAATTTCATTGTTTAAAAACACAATACCCAAAGAAATGGAAGGAAATGAGGATTCTGGTTTCTGTGTACGTCTAACAATATTTTGGTGTCAGGTCCTAGATGACAACATCTCTCCCCCAGGATCCAATAGCCAATGTAGCTAAGATATGAGGTATGACTTAAATAATACATGGTGAGACTGATAATTTAGGAAAGCCTTTTGTTTTGCTGTCTTTTAACTGTGGCAAATAAATAATATATACATAATAGATATCTCTAATATATATATACATATATATGTATATATATGTATAATATATATACATATATATGAATGTATGTATATATCTGTTCCATCTCCATATTTGCTTAAGTAAAACTTCAAAACTAATTACTTCCAAAGAATTTGGTCTCAGTTGTATGCAAGCATCAGTGAATGCTGTCACGGGCATGGGAATACAGTGAATAATTGAATAAATATATTTGGTATGGAAGCCTAAGTTTAAAAGGATCTTGGTATAAAGAGCAACAGGACTACCCTCTAGTATATATCTACAAGCTTATTATGTCTGGGGGAGCTTGGAAGGAACTCAGGAAACAGTGACAGTGAGTTGTGAGTAGAGGTTCAGCTCCTAGAATTC